ATGACAATTTTTCTTAAAAGTTGAATATCTGAATAACTACTTGGGTTCTAGAGCTGCTATTTGCGGCCAAAAACTTGTTGTTGATTGTACTTTTGACCTATGCAATTGAAATCAAGTTTGGAGAAAGTTGATTGAGCAGTTCCTGTAGTACTTTGTCGTTGCTTATCTGCACTGGCTCATAAAGATATATTGTCGTGTGATATTTGTGCATCTCACGCACTCATTTAGCTTTTTCTAGCCTTAATTAGAAATATAATCGGTATTAACCTGTTTGAGGACTTTTTTTTTATCAAAGTATTATGAAGTACATCCACGCATTAGCTAACTTTCTCAATGTATGAAACCTTTTTAACTTTCAATGACTGCTCATTTTATTTTTATACCCTTCTGGCAATTTTTATTGTGCTTTTTTCTTTTTATGAATGTTAACTATTTTTTTATCATCTGAATCAAAAAAAAAAATATTTTTGCACTATTTCTTTTTTTTTTGCTTAATGTGAAACACATTTCCCCTGTATGGATGGGTGTGACAAATGAATCAGGGAAACGGCCATTATTTATCGTTGCTTTCGTATTTTATTTCTAATGAAAAGAAATAGAAACAGATTCTCACAGCTTTTATTAAGAGAAAAGAAGAAAAAAGCCATTCATTCATTTTTCTTCTTGAAAATAAAATGTACTTTATTATAAAACCGTACCGCATAGGGCGGTACACAAACAAGAAAAAAGAGTTATCAACCTAGATTTGTATTCATATCGATTAAAATACATGATAACAGTTGAATAGGACAAAAAAACATCATTTGTATTTATTTATCTGTATTATATTCTTGTCTATTAGCCATTTGCAAAAAAAAATGTAAATATTACTGAGCCTAGCAAGACAAGTAATCGAATAAATACCTGTATCAAAATAGAAAATTAATTGTTTCTATTTAGGTGTCTTTTCTCTGATACTTACTTAACAAGCCAAGCGTAACTTCTATTCTCTCTTCTAGATTTAAGTGAATTACTTTGAGTTGCAAGTTCATCGGAAAATGGTGATTATCGATGATGTAGATGAGGAACACATCACTGATGAAATTCAATCCGTAGCAGTACAATTCCAACAGGTAATTAGACTCAGATATGAACGACAATTGTCTTCTGAAAACAGCTAAATATTTTAAAAACCTTTTTTTTCTTTCCAAATGTCAGCAAAAGCATTAGTCTTTTTTTCATCTTTAGGATGAATGTTTTGTTATTATCACATCATAAATTATATTCAAACTAACCTTTAAGAAAAAAAATGTAATTATTTGTCATTCTGCTAGTACTATGTAATTAATAAATAATTTTCATGTTTATTGAATATTAGTGCATTTACTTTAGCTTAACTATAGTTCCTGTGGTGTTGAACTTTTCGAACAAGGAACGTATACATCAGCACCGTTATTAGTAAAAATGAAGAATAAATTATCCTCGTATAAAGATATATTGTCGTGTGATATTTGTGGATCACACGCAACCGGTTTTAACTTTAATGCGAGAACATGTCAATCCTGTAAGGCATTCTTTAGACGAAATGCCATTAATGGCATGGTAATTTTTTTTGTTTTTGTCTATTTATTATTTAAGTTTCTCAACAGATTTTTATTCTATGTTCTATTTTTAGTTCAAAATGAAATGTCGATACGTGGGTAGATGTGAAATCACTGAACGTTCAAGAAAACATTGTGCATATTGTCGTTTAAAAAAATGTTTCATTTCTGGAATGAAAAAGGAATTCATTAGAAGTGAACAAGAAAAACAGAATCGAAAACAAATTTTAATCGATAAAAAATGTTGCAAACAACTTCAGTTAATTAAGAAAACTACAGTAAGACAACTCTTATTCAATAATTTCATGTGATTTTGAAAAATTTTACTGCGAATACAAACATAGACCATCCTATGTGAAATGTTTAGCTTTCATTTTACTGTTACTAAAATATTAGAGTAAATCACATTAGAATATAATAGATGAAGAAATGTAGCGTTTGAGATTGGTCTATCAATAGTAGCTGATAGATGCCGTAATCGTTACTTTACAAAATACTCATGCTAATAAGTGTTACGGCTCGTTCTTAATTGAGATCACTTTTTATAATTAAAGAAATAAAAATGTTTTCGGTCTGGAAATGGCATATTCTATGAATTTTGAAAAATGATCTCAGTTTCTAAAACGACTTTGTAGCTCCTGTTGTAATAAACTATGGATTTCTAAACTGTATATAATACATAGGTTAAAGTGAAAGTCTAAAACAGTGTAATCAAATGAATGTCTACGTTAAACAAAAGTCTTTTCGTGCATTCACTTTAAATGTGTTTTATTTTGTAACAATCACCAACATCATTACAAATTCTCAGTGTTAATCCACACTGGAATTCAGATGGTGCATTTAGAAGGTCACCAAAACTATTTTCTCAAAGCTGTAGTATTCATACATGGGATGACGTGAGTTGTTTATGCTGCATTACTTACTAAAGAAGAGGGGTTGTATCAGGTACTGTTAAATGCACTAACAACTAGTTTAAGAATCTATATTTTAATATAGTGGAAGCTACAATGTACAAAGTTTTCATTTCACTCTATGTATTATATACAGTTTAGGAATCATATTTTACTTAAATAGGAGCTACAAGCTCGTTTTCCAAACTCACGAGGGAACGTTTTTAAGTGCCCCCTTGCTTTTTCAACGAAACGTAGTGGGTTATAGGTTATCAACACTGCTGATTCCGAATATGAACATGAGAGCTGCCCTTAGGGCGTTGAAGACCCGGTTTTCTGGAAAACCAGTTGTTCAGAAACTCTGGAAAACAACCATAGCTTTTCTCAATGAGCCATGCTTATAGTCCGCATATTTCTGATTCAAGTGAGACCTCTCCCAACTCTACATGACCTTTCTTTGCAAAGTTATAGAATTTACAAGAAAAAGTGCTAAATTAATTTCTTATTTCTGTAGCTTTGAGTTGACAATGAATATTTAGGGCTTTTCTTGTGAATTCTGTAACCTTGCAAAGAGAGGTCATGTAGAGTTGGTAGAGATCTCGTTTTAGTCAGAAATATGCGGGCTACAAGCATGGCTCATTAAGAAAAGCTTTGGTTGTTTTTCAGAGTTTTTGAAAAACTGGTTTTCCAGAAAGCCGGACCTTCGAAGCCCTACGGGCAGCTCTCATATTCATATTCGGAATCAGCATCATCGGTAACCTATAACCCACTAGGTTTCGTTGAAAAAGCGAGGAGGCACTTTAAAACGTTCCCTCGTGAGATCACTTTTCAAAATTGATAGAATATGCCATATCCAAACTGAAATCATTTTTATTTCTTTAATTATAAAAAGTAATCTCAATTAAGAATCCTCGGTGTTATCTGTTACCGAGAAAAGGTTATTGAGACAGCAGCACGGCGAGTCATTACGATATGCCGTGTGAACATTTGGGATTTATTTTTTAATTAAAAAACGATTATTTTTAGTTTAGTGACTCTCCATACTCTGAAATGTCTATTTTATCAACGATAAACACATGGCCAAGGAAACAAATCATTTTTCAGTTCAGACTGGTGAAAGACACTCTCTGTTTAATTTTTTTGAAGTCGAAACATTTTGTCACTAAATTATTCAATGTGGTTTGAGAAACTGATTTTAAATATGGTATCTCTACTGATTGAAAAGATTTTTAAGACTAAAAAGCAGGATTTCTTCTTCGCACAGGTTTTTGAAAACCTCCTGTGCAATTTACGAAAGTTGGAGCTATTATCATCGAACTTTGACATGATTCATCTAAATTCTGAACTAGATTAGAACTGGGAAAATTTTGGGAAACTCTCTATAACTACGCACTGTCATTTCACTGTAAGATATTCAAAGATAAAAGCTTTTTTGTGTAGATATTCTGACAATTTTTTCAAGACTATGCACTCTTGGTTTGCTCCGTTTATAATAAGAATCGTCTTTACGGATTATAACTTCGTTAATAAACCAGAGAATGTTTTAGGTAGACCATTTTCGTAGTCATTTTCGGTTCTTATTGTTTAACGTTTTGAGTACGGGCGACGTTAATTCTCGTCTTGAGGTTTTGCGCTCTGAATGGCTTTCGTAAATATTACCTATAGCTTATTCAATGAAATGAATGACCCCGTTTTGTCTGCTGATCTCAAATATGTTATTAGTTTTCCTTGAAATTAAATGGGGAGTGAAAAGAACACAAATAAGTGAAATAATGAAGGTTAGAGGTGAGTGTGTAATCTTTCTGACAAAAGTTTTACCTACGTTTTCGGAATCATAGATTTCCATGATTATTTTTTCTCGATTATGTTGTACATTCAGTGCAAATACTATAGTACAAAGAGCGATCTTTAGTTCATCACCCTCGCTCTTCTACGTATGTTTCAATCGTGGGTGCTCATCCATGAAATGAATCAATTTCCAGAACCACACAATAGTAACCTTCATACTTTGGCTAGATAGTCTACACCCACTGTAGAGTCTCTGATGCGAATCCGAAGTCAAACGCAAATTTTTTTCGCAAAGAACCTCGAATTTTCAATAAAAAAAAAACCCACCTCGCCCGTAAAATAGCTATATTTCACTGATTACTAACAGTCAATTCACGAAATTCATATCGTCGATAGAGTACAGTTCTGGCTATATTTTTGTAAAAAGAAAACGTTTTCATCTCTCAGGTCAGGAGCTATTGATATTTTACGGAAAAGGAATAAATTGCTTATATCTCATGAACCATTCGGTAAAAGAGTCTCAAAGTTTGCGGGTGATCAGCCTTCGGTAAGAGCTATGGTGACATAAAATTAAAAATCCCTAGCTATCATGGTTTTTGAGTTGCAGGGATGTCGCGACTTTTGTTGGATAATTTTTCGAAAAAATAATCTCGTACTCAAAGGGTTAATGTCCATGTGATTGACTACAATGATCAAAAATATGGTGATCACTCATTCATAAAATAGTGATTTATTCAGATGAATGACTACTCTTTTATTTGAACAGATTCAGCCGTTGTATCTGTTGAACAAGGACAAATCGAGGTTATCAAATGGTGATTGGTCGTGGATAACAAATATGATGAATGCTTTTAATCAATATTGTTTTGAGCCAAGTTTAATAATAGTTCAACGAAAAAGTCATTTTCAACCGATTAAATCTCGACTAAAATTACAACGTTATGCTGATTTACGATCTATCGAATTTATACCATTGTTATCATTTTTCAAATGTATACCAGAATATCAAAATTTATCATCTGAGATAAAAACATATTTGATACAGCAAAATCTTCGATTTGTTGGAATATTACATGCAACAGAATATATGAAAACTTCAGCAAATATGCCATGGGAAGGTGATTATTCTCTTTTTCAATATATTCATGGTGATGAATTATTATCTAAAATGGAACATGGTATAAGATTACTAAAATTAATTCTTCAAGATCCTGTTATAACAAGATTATTGTTAATTATTCTTTTATTTACAACAAGTTTATCGATAACAATTGTAAATAATATTTATTCTACTTCTCATACTTTCTCATCCAATATATTTCATATACAAAATTATTATTTAAAACTCTTATGGAACTACATGAAATATCGTCTTGATGAACGAACAGCAATATGTATGTTTTCTATGCTTATTTCACGCTATATGCATGTACAAACTATTGGTTACGATATTGATCAAAACTTTCTAGATAGACCAGATTTAAGTGAAATTACTCATTTGATTAAAGCTATAGAATTCTAACAATATTTTTCTAGGCAATATACGAAATGTACATTAGTTATAGTAAAATATTTTTAAGTCAGTGACATGTATAATTAACTATGACAGTTTTCTCTCTTTTACAATCTTTGCGTTTATTTTTTCGTGAAATTCTAACATCTCAACCAACTTTGAATTTTTACACTTACAGTTTTTATCAAAATGTTTGCTTACCCTTCGATTGTCGTTATAAGAAAGGACAATTAAATATCCTCATAAGGAAAAATTCGACTATAGGGCGCAACCAGCTAATTTTGCTACCGTAGAGGAATTTCGTAACGTTTTTTCATCATTTTATTTTGTTCATCAATCGTAAATCAAACGATGCAGACAGCTGCGACACGCCTATAAAATTGAAGAAAAAACTGCTATATATATTTTAAAACGCGTCTCAGCTCTGTAACATATCTCGTTTTAAAGCTCTGATAGAAATACTGACAACTACTTTTCGATTCTACAAAGTTTAAATGTGCGAAAAGCAGGTTACAGAGCTGAGACGCTTTTTAATATATACATAGCAGTTTTTTCTTCAATTTTAAGACGTGTCGCAGCTGTCTGCATCATTTGATTTACGATTTATAAACAAAACACAATGATGAAAAAATGTTACGGAATTTCGTCTACGGTAGCAGACTTAGCAGACCGCGCCGTATAGTCCAATTTTCATTTCATCAAAGTCGTTTGAACAGTTTTGAATGCCACGTGCAGTAACTTTAATATACATACAATGAAAAGAAACCCACTATTCACTTTGTAAATAAATTTCTCTTTTCTTCTGTTTCTTTCCACCTTCTACCTGGATATACACACACAGTTAGATCTATATGTGTCGTGTGTTTATAAGAAAGCCAAAATCATACCGTATAAAATTAACTACACTCAGAGATCTCCTTTATAACTCGTCTTCTCAATCTTGTTGGTCTTATAGTGTAGGCCAAAATAAATCTGTACGGCTGTATTTTGCATTTTTTTTCCCTCGTTCGTGATAATTAAAACAAATCTGAAGTTGATCTGAGTAACTGAATAAGTTTTCAATTTTGAGAGGTGTGTATAGAAATTTCACTAGAAATACTGGAAAATAGATCTCTAGAAAATCAAAAAAAGAAATGTCTTATCGGTCTATCATAAATTGGATGTAGTTTCATGAAAAAGTGTCGTGGAAAGCTAGCAGATGTCTCATTTTATCCACAAACGTTCGCTGTAGCACTCTGGTTGAAAAACGTTTAGAATTGAAATTCTGAAATTTAAAATTTTTCCAGAGCTCTACTTTTCAGCATTTCTGGTGGAATTTCTATACACATCTCTTAAAATTGGAATGTTTTTCAGAGTTCTTTTATGATTTTTCTAGAGCATCAAAAACAGCATACTAGATTATAGCCACAAGAAAAATAGCATACTTTATCAAGAGAAGATTCTTCTCTTTTTATAGAATAAGGTCCTCTTTTTATGGAATAAGGTGAAATAATGGAATTACCTGATATAGAGAACAAAATAGTGTAGGTTCTGTCAGATGATCAGAATTGAAATCACTAACGTGAGACTGGTATTCTCCAACAAACAATTTTAACGGATCGATGTTCTCTCTAGTCCCTCTATATTATGGCATATGACAGTGCTGCTCTTTCTGACGAAAAATCGGAATAGCGAGAGAAAAAACACGAGGAGAAACCCTAATTCTCATATCAATTTACTTGTGATGAGTTCAGTTCCAAGATTGTTTGGATGAAATTTGTCTTTTCGTAAAAAAATGTACAAAATCGACACTGAATGTGTCGATTGTTGGATGATCGTTAAACGTTGTTGTTAGTAGATCATTGTATTGACGAATTTTATTAATTAGCGGTTTGTCAAAACTTGACGGAATGGTTATCAAATGAACACATTTTATTCTTTGATATTTTTGTTGTAGAGCAGATGTTAACTGTTATATTTTGTTTAACGCTTTGTAACTATTTTGTAACTAATCCGGATGATAATTCATGCATAATCGAAAGAATAGATCATTTGTACTGAAAAATTGCTTGTAATGAGACAACGTCTTGTTTTAGATGAATTTTTTATTTGTCAACACATTTGAACAAGATACCGATTCTGTGAATCAGAAAGAAGAGTTTGAAAATCACTAAGCTTCTGTAAATCCTTCATTTCAGTCCAATTACAAAAGTCAGGATCTAATTCAATCTATGCAATGGCTGCACCGAGTGCAGGCCGTTGCAAAGGAAGGTTTTTCAATCAAACATACTTTGATTTTTCACCAGTTTCAAAAGTGTGGATCTATGATATGCTGGAAGAAGTAGAGAGGAAAAAACTCTTATAAATTATTTGAATAGTACAAGTAATTTTCTGCAACAATATAATAATAATGCCGCTTTATAGAGTTTATAATTAAGGATACAATATAATAATAAACTGACCTACTCACTTTTCTATTCACAGCTAATGTCATATAAAATGGTTTTTTTACTCACAACACGTAAACTTCAAATAACGAGCTAACGTCAATATTTATAGTTGATTTTCTTCTACAAAATAATAAGCTCATTATTTCGACTAAATATAAACCCTCTGAGTTTTTATTATTAAAACTTTAGTACAGCAGATTATAGGAAAATGTTTTTGGAAAATGTGTGTTATCAGTAAGAATTTAAAACTTCTTTGAATTGAAGCTTTTTAATCTTTAAGGTAGCGACTAATAATATCACGTTTTATTAATAGAACATGTACTTTTTTTCTAAATTAATTCGATGTTTGAAACTCATATTTTCTATTTATATTCTCTTGCAAAGAGAAAAAAAGCTTTAAACTTCATTACTTCACAATAAAGCTAGTTATTTGAAGTGTCAAGTGTTGTGAGTAAAAAAGAACCATTTTATATGACATTAGCTGTGAATAGAAAAGTAAGCAGGTCAGTTTATTATTATATTATATCCTTAATTATAAACTCTATAAAGCGGCATTATTATTATATTGTTGCAGAAAATTACTTGTACTATTCAAATAATTTATAAGAGTTTTTTCCTCTCTACTTCTTCCAGCATATCATAGATCCACACTTTTGAAACTGGTGAAAAATCAAAGTATGTTTGATTGAAAAACCTTCCTTTGCAAGGACATGAAAAACATTTTAAGGGACGCAATGAGAAAGGACGAATTGAGAATAAAAATTTATGAGGAATGAATTGAAAGAACACCGTAAACTGATATCCATACTAAAAAAACAATGGGTAGTGCTATTGCCACCTCTAGAGGTGTCACTCAGGAGCTATTACCACCTTCGGAAGATGTCAGATGTTAGTAAACAGCTATTGCTACCTCCTAGCTTACTACTATGTCTGAAGGTGGTAATAGCCGTTATTGGCAACTTCTGAAGGTGGCAATAGTTTTTTGATGACACCTCTGAAGGTAGCAATAGCCATTCCGAAAAACAATATAGTATCTCGGATTTCTTATTGCTCATGTGCGATCTTTTCATATCGAAAGCTGAGATGAGTAAAATTTCGTAACGTTTTTTATAAGAATCTTATCATTGCAGTATGCATTGATCTCGACTGAAATAAAGTTTTATGTGTGATAACAATGATCAACGGCAAATTTTCTAAATCAAAAAAGATTGATAGAGGATATTCCGAGGATCTACCTTGAATCTTCTGCTTTTTCTTGTTAAACATTGGCGATATTGTTTTTAATCTAAAGCCGACAGCCACAGACTTTTTGCTGATGATGTGTTTCTTCGTGTATGAATGGTCAGTATTGTGGCAATTACAATTTGAATCTTAACAAATGTGAATCTATGAAATTGTATAAGTATAGAATAGATTCATCTTATTGTACAATCATAATTATTGAAAAAAATTATTTTTGTATTTTAATGAATTAAGCATCTCACTATTATTTGGTCTTTTCAGTGGTAGTGATTTTATAGTTGTAACATAACTTTAAGACTAAAACGCTTCAACGAAATTTATTGAAACTTAATAAAAAGTTTAAAAAAACTTTCATATAAACAACTCTTATCATGGAAGTAAGAAGAATGAACAAACTCTGCGTCATTTTGTGGTACATTACGAAATAAATATATATTGATTATGTTTGTATTTCTTCAACGATCTGGACTATTTGTTCCCAATTTTGAGCTATCCTCACTGAGTCGACAAAATCTGGTTGAAATCTCTTAGCTCCATCAATTTTAGTACGATCAGAGCAAAACCATATTTTAATAATAGAAGATGGAAAATTGCGTAAAACTTGCATTCTATCATCAATCATGACATTTACTTTATTATCAGTAGCTATCTTAACTTTTTCTTCGTATTCCAAACAAAAATACGTTTCGATATGAGATAAGTTATTTGTTTTTAACCAAGTATTGGATTTCTCGGCATAACGTTCTTTGCATTTTGAGATCAATATAATTCTAATGGATTTATTTTCTGATAGTTTTCTTATGGAGTCTAACGCATTCTCAATTGGTTCATCATTTTGCTGATTCCTTAACACACCACCAATATCACAGGCAATGACAGTAACTGGAGAAGTGCTCATAACAGCAAAGAAGCGCTAAAACAGAAGAATATTTTTGAAAAGATCCTATAATTGAATAGAGAGATTTGAGAAACTGACTGTGAAAACTTTCTGGGACTTGTCCGTTTTCAGAAGGAAAAGGAAGTTTGAAGTATAAAGTTTATATACAAGGATTTAGTGGTTTGCAGAGGGCTTTTTGTCAGTAGCTGTAAACGCACAATTTTCAGCAGCTGTAAACTTTCAGGGTGAAATTGTGACTGACCAAATTTCAATATAAATTCGGTGTTTACAGCTACTGAAATGTGGGTAAAATGAAAAAGCTGGAATCTCGTCATTGTCATTTTTACTAAATATGTTCGACAAATTGTCGAATTTCAGGTTGCTTTTCTACTATTGTCTTACGACTTGTGATTTCAACAATTGTCAAAAATCCCTTTTTTGTAAGGCCTGATTATTAGTTGAGTCAGCCCTACCCTGATTCTTGCCTGAGCCTCGTCCATCGTGATTCTGCCCATGTTGTCCTGGTATTATTTAGAATACACGGATTATAGATTATAGATCGACTACTATCGTTTTCATTAAACCGTGCAGTCCGATGTTTTGCTTATAACTTTTTAACGAAAAACGATACAGAACTCGGAACTTCACTTTTAGAGAGTAGAATCTGGGGAATATCCGTTTATGGAAAAAGCTTGTCAGAAATGCCACCTGCAGGTGGTAAATCTCTTCAAAACTTTTTGCAGAAACCTTCTCACCATTGAAGAAGTTTTGGATTTTCGATTCCAAACAGTGAACTGGAGACTCTGAATGTTGATCTACAATTCTCGACAAGTCTTAGATTTCCATCTCTTATCATCTGGGAGCTAGAGACACTCTACGCAAACCAAGCTATCTCCAAATCTGGAGATTTAGAAATCTGAAAAACAACAATATAATAATAATGCCGCTTTATAAAGTTTATAATTAAGGATACAATATAATAATAAACTGATCTGCTTACTTTTCTATTCACAGCTAATGTCATATAAAATGGTTTTTTTACTCACAACACGTAAACTTCAAATAACGAGTTAACGTCGATATTTATAGTTGAATTTCATCTACAAAATAATAAGCTCATTATTTCGACTAAATATAAACCCTTTGAGTTTTTATTATTAGAACTTTATTACAGCAGATTGTAGGAAAATGTTTTTGGAAAATGTGTGTTATCAATAAGAATTTTAAACTTCTTTGAATTGAAGCTTTTTAATCTTTAAGGTAGTGACTAATAATATCACGTTTTATTAATAGAACATGTACTTTTTTTCTAAATTAATTCGATGTTTGAAACTCACATTTTCTAGTTACATTCTGTTGCAGAGAGAAAAAAAGCTTTTAACTTCATTACTTCACAATAAAGCGAGTTATTTGAAGTGCCAAGCGTTGTGAGTAAAAAAGAACCATTTTATATGACACCAGCTGTGAATAGAAAAGTAAGCAAGTCAGTTTATTATTATATTGTATCCTTAATTATAAACTCTATAAAGTGGCATTATTATTATATTGTTGCAAAAAATTAGTTGTACTATTCAAATAATTTATAAGAGTTTTTTCCTCTCTACTTCTTCCAGCATGCCATAGATCCTCACTTTTGAAACTGGTGAAAAATCAATGTATGTTTGGTTGAAAAACCTTCCTTTGCAATGACATGAAAAACATTTTAAGGAACGCAATGAGAAAGAACGAAGTGAGAATAAAAATTTATGAGGAACGAATTGAGAGAACACCATAAACTGATATCCATACTAAAAAAACAATCGGTAGTGCTCTTGCCACTGCTAGAGGTGTCACCAAGGAGCTATTACCACCTTCGGACGGTGTCAGTAACGGCTATTGGCACCTCCTAGCTTACTACTATGTCCGAAGGTGGCAATAGCCGTTATTGGCAGCTTCTGAAGGTGGCAATAGTTCTTTGGTGACACCTCTGAAGGCAGCAATAGCCATTCCGGAAAACAATATAGTATCTCGGATTTCTCATTGCTCATGTGCGACCTTTTCATATCGAAAGTTGAGATGAGTAAAATTTCGTAACTTTTTTTATGAGAATCCTATCATTGCAGTATGCGTTTATCTCAACTGAAACATATAAAGTTTTATGTGTGATAACAATGATCAACGGCAAATTTTCTAAATTAAAAAAGATTGATAGAGGTATATTCCGAGGTTCTACCTTGAATCTTCTGCTTTTTCTTGTTAAACATTGGCGATATTGTTTTTAATCTAAAGTCGACACCTACAGACTTTTTGCTGAAGATGTGTTTCTTCGTGTATGAATGGTCAGTATTGTGACAATTACAATTTGAATCTTAACAAATGTGAATCTATGACATTGTATAAGCATAGAATAGATTCATCTTATTGTACAATCATAATTATTGACAAAAATTATTTTTGTATTTTAAAGAATTAAGCATCTCACTATTATTTGGTCTTTTCAGTGGTAGTGATTTTATAGTTGTAACATAACTTTAAGACTAAAACGCTTCGACGAAATTTATTGAAACTTAATAAAAAGTTTAAAAAAACTTTCATATAAACAACTCTTATCATAGAAGTAAGAAGAATGAACGAACTATGCGTCATTTTGTGGTACATTACGAAATAAATATATATTGATTATGCTTGTATTTCTTCAACGATCTGGACTATTTGTTCCCAATTTTGAGCTATCCTCACTGAGTCGACAAAATCTGGTTGAAATTTCTTAGCTCCATCAATTTTAGTACGATCAGAGCAAAACCATATTTTAATAATAGAAGATGGAAAATTGCGTAAAACTTGCATTCTATCATCAATCATGACATTTACTTTATTATCAGTAGCAATCTTAACTTTTTCTTCGTATTCCAAACAGTAATACGTTTTGATATGAGATAAATTATTTGTTTTTAACCAAGTATTGGATTTCTCGGCATAACTTTCTTTGCATTTTGAGATCAATATAACCGTAATGGATTCATTTTCTGATAGTTTTCTAATGTAGTCTACCGCATTCTCA